TTTTGACCTTGTGTCACATTTTCTGTATATAAGCGGAAATAAATATAGCTCTCTAAAATAAATAAATAAATAAATAGTAGAAAGGATAACACTATCATGTGTTTAACGTCTGCTTGAGTAAAATCTTGTCAGTTTAGAATATTTTTAATTGTACCCTTTTACTTTTTAAAATAATAACCTTTTCTTATGATTATTATTATAATACTTTACTGTTAAGCTGAAATATTCAATGGGACATTCGTGGGATTTCCACGGGTATTATATAATCGTGCAACTGGTAAGAAGCTTATTCAGTCATTAGCTTAAGAATTATGATTCATCAGAAAAATTCAAGTAGGAAAACCGTCAAAAATTCACGGATATTTCTAGTCTGTCATTATTTGAATTGTTTTATTGTTCGGCGAGACATACTTCTGCCACGGAAACAAAAGGTCACAGGTTTAAATTACAAGCCCGGCAACAAGACAACGCTGGAGACAGCAGAATCGAATTAAAGAAACATTCTTTGGAAAAATAAAGACACAACTCGAAACATTTAGAGAAACGACAATCTGAAAGATTCTTATTGTGTGAAGAACTTAATTATCGAGAAATAGACTCGAAATGAAACCCCAAGAAAGTAGAAAACCAAGAGCTAGTACGTCGAATCTTTAAATCTTGCATGCTTGCTGTTTTAGGGTTTTAAGGGTTTATGTATATAGATTTATATTCCCAGGCGTGTAAGATGCATCGTTAGGCTAAGGAAAAATGTCAGTTGTAATTAGGGATGGAATTGTTGCATTCGTCATTTTTTATTATATTGAATATTTTGAATATTTTTTATGCAATGTTTTTTTTTACCTTACCGTATGAATAACCTTACATTTAAAATTATCGTTATGATAAGGAAAAATGTCAGTGGTAATTAGGGATGGAGTTGTTGTATCCGTCATTTTTTTTATTATATTGAATATTTTGAATATTTTTTATGCAATGTTTTTTTTTTACCTTACCGTATGAATAACCTTACATAAAAGATTTATATTCCTAGGTGAGTAAAATGTATCGTTATGATAAGGAAAAATGTCAGTGGTAATTAGGGATGGAGTTGTTGTATCCGTCATTTTTTTTATTATATTGAATATTTTGAATATTTTTTATGCAATGTTTTTTTTTTTACCTTACCGTATGAATAATCATAAAAGATTTATATTCCTAGGTGAGTAAAATGTATTTTATGATAAGGAAAATGTCAGTGGTAATTAGGGATGGAGTTGTTTATCCGTGTTTTTTTTTTTATATTGAATATTTTGAATATTTTTATGCAATGTTTTTTTTTACCTTACCGTATGAATAACCTTACATAAAAGATTTATATTCCTAGGTGAGTAAAATGTATCGTTATGATAAGGAAAAATGTCAGTGGTAAGTAGGGATGGAGTTGTTGTATCCGTCATTTTTTTTATTATATTGAATATTTTGAATATTTTTATGCAATGTTTTTTTTACCTTACCGTATGAATAACCTTACATAAAAGATTTATATTCTAGGTGAGTAAAATGTATCGTTATGATAAGGAAAAATGTCAGTGGTAATTAGGGATGGAGTTGTTGTATCCGTCATTTTTTTTATTATATTGAATATTTTGAATATTTTTTATGCAATGTTTTTTTTTTACCTTACCGTATGAATAACCTTACATAAAAGATTTATATTCCTAGGTGAGTAAAATGTATCGTTATGATAAGGAAAAATGTCAGTGGTAATTAGGGATGGAGTTGTTGTATCCGTCATTTTTTTATTATATTGAATATTTTGAATATTTTTTATGCAATTTGTTTTTGACCTTAGCGTATGAATAACCTTGCGTATAAAGATTTATATTCCTAGGCGAGTAAAATGTATCGTTATGCTAAGGAAAGATGTCAGTTGTAATTAGGGATGGAGTTGTAGCATTCTTCTAAGATACTGAATATTTTGAATAAATTTTGCCATATGAATAAAAAATTAAATTGAAAAAATATCCGAAACTTGCTAATTAATTCCTTTCGCTAGTTTGTAACCAAGTAAATGTTTATGGCGGGAATTCTTATGTTTTGAGTGAGTTACATTCTAAAATAGTGGAAAGAAAAGCTAGACAGAACATGTGTTACGCTTAGACTATCTTGAAGATAAAACCATAATGAGATGCTGTTCGAAACCGAGCCGCACCTAACGATACCTGCATCATTATCTAATTCTTTAGCGAACCGATTCCTTCCACAGCCTCTTTGCTTTGTCGTCTTTTTAGTTGCCATTGTATATTCGCAGTCTTTTGTCCGCTAGACCCCAGCGGCGCATCACAATAAACCTCAAAGACATTAATAAGATCACTCGGCCGTCAAATGAAACATGTTGATTGCTATTATCTTTCCAGACAGCTGTATTGTTTGGCATAGAAAAATTTTCCCACAATTCCATTTCTTTATCAAGGGAAAACGTACGAATACATAAGAAGCGCTCAGTCAGAGGGACAAAAAATGCGAATGTCTGGAGCAATATGATTTTTATGTGTCGCTTGACATTCTAGAGAAAGCATCTGGTCACCCAATAGCCAATTTAAGGGGGTCTTTGTCCGACTGGTATTATATGAAACTATTTCCTGAAAATTTGATTCGTAAAGTTACAGATATCCTGAAGTCAGGCGTGGCTAAACATATGTCGAAAGAAAGAAAACAAAAGGATGACATTCTTCTTTCTTGGGATGAGGTTCATAGAAAAGATTAATTTTACGATATATGAACACGTGTTGGGTTATTTTAATATCGAATAAAAGTTTGGTTGGATAGAAATCCAAAGTATTAACAGAAAAAGATAAACACCGGAGCTAACAAACTAGATGCAGGTTCAGATTACACCTGAGGAACAAAGGTAGACAAACTTCCGGTTTACAGTATAGTCAGTAATGTCGGCTAAAGTTATAACACGTCTGGCCCGGCTCGATAATCGGTTGTTCCCACGCTGGTCAGTAATGTCGACGGTCAACTGATGGTTATCTGCATTTCGCTTCGTTCCTCCATCTGCTTCGGCCCTACGTTGTGTTCCTTCATCATACAGCAGTGAAGATCGAATTTCGTTCGTATTTAAGTGCTGGATCAGACCGCAGCGAAACCGTGCTGCAAATGGACAAAGACCACTCCTGCTGACGAAAATAAAAAATAACATAACAAAATAACAAAGAACGTCGCCGGGTTAATTTTCAATTGATCGATAGGGTTTTTGATACAACAAAATTAACCATTCCCGTTAAAATATCTATCGTGACACTTTGTCTTTTTCTTGTAAAACTTGCAGCGGGTAAAAAAAAAAAAGTCGGGAATTCTCTTAGCAGCAGGTCACGTGACCTCTTCCGGCCTCTCCAGACCACCACTGACCCCTGGTGACTTCTGCTGGCTTCTTGTTCCTTATCGTCTTAGGTCTCCTAACCGACCGTATATATGTATTCCGCCGGACTCTCTCAGGAATCATCAATATTCATATAAATTATTTTATATCTCAAATTTTGAAGAACTGATACTAACCTTCAAACAAAGCGGTCACTTATTCAAAACAATACATTCTTCGACAACAAACTTTGTTTATCATTCCTTTCTATGTTCCGACGACAATCGGCTCAAGGTCGACCACTTATACATAAAAATAATTTTCCAACATCTTGTGATTATAAAATTTTCCTATGTTCTTGACGTCAAAGAATTTCCTTTGTTGTCGATTTACCAAATCGACCCAAATAATTTTCTGCCCATTTTACAAAACGGCACTCCAGATTGTTTACAATTTATAATAACTCAATTCGTTTTTGAGTTTATATTTTACATTTCTCAATCTATATTTGGATTCAACATTCCATTCGGCGTCTCTGGTTATCAGAAAGAAAAAAAAGTTTCTTTTTTTTCTTGTTTCATATTTCAATTCATCTTTTCACCTTAACATTTTTAACAATTTTAACCCTTCCAATTATTCAATGCCTATCCAAGGTTTTCATGTGAACCCTTTTAATCCTAATTTCATACTACCAGTGTCACAATAGTGTCACAAATTCGATTTATACTAAGTGCAAAAAAAAAAAAAAAGATCCAAGTCCGGTATACACTAAAATCAAAAAATTAGACATAGGTCCAGTTTACACTATATTAAAAGAGGTAGATATAGATCAGTTTTTCACAATAGCCAAAAAAGTAGACATAAATACAGTTTACATTGAAGTCAAAATTTTTACACAGGTTCGGTTTACACTAAAGTAATATATATATATATATATATATATATATATATATATATATAGATATATATATATATATATGTCCGATTTACACTAGAGTAGAAAAGGTAGACACAGGTTCGGTTTACACTAAAGTCAAAAATGTAGACATAGCTCCGGTTTTACACTAAAGTCAAAAGTTCCATATTGGACAGATCTATATTTGTATATCTAAGTGTCGACCTAGTGTTCTTTCTTCTTGTCTTATCTGTCGTCAGGACTTAAAGTCAATGCACTCTAAGCGCCGCCAAGAGGGCATTTGAAGATAGGTAACTCGATTTTGGAATGCGTATGATGAAAGAAAGCTGTCATATGGGTCTGATAAAAGAATGTCTAAAGCAGGTGGGTTTCAACGCGACGTAACGTCTGCTTAGAAAGCAATGAAATGAAAGATAACACCAATGACACGTGGATGCACAAAAAGGTTTTGATCGAATCAGTGCATCTAGCCATGTTTTTTTTTCCTGTCTTTCTTGGAAAGATAGAATTCGATGTCTGTCTAGAAATGATCGAACCATTTAATATTAATCAAGACCTGGCCTTCCTAGATGAAATAGTTTTAGTCCGCTTCGGGTTATTCCATTTCAAAACTGACTTCTCCCAACATTACTTACACTTTCCCCCAACCGTCTACAAAATACACTTTCAGAATCGCAACTACCAGCCTCGCAGAATTCCTCTTAATATCTCCCAAGATCTGAAATCTCCTCCGAAATTTAAGGTCATATCATGTTGAAACACCCGTTTCCGTAAGATCACCGAAGTTAAGCAACGGCGCGCCTGGTCAGTAACTAGATGGGTAACCGCTTGGGAATACCAGGTCCTGTAAGTTTGGATGTGCGCTCGGAATTATTCCAATTCCGTTGGGGTGGTTATATTCGTTTATGCCCAAAATACCCTTGTGATAGGTATGAATCTACCTACTTCTCCCCAGTTATGGGTTAATTAGTAATACGTTTGTATAAATAAACCATTACTATATATAAAAAATCTTATTATGTAAAAATATTTTCTGGCTTTAAATAACCTGCAAAGGGTTGATAAACCGTAGAAAACAGATCAATCAATCAAACCTCCTGCTTTTCTCCCGTGATCCCTAGAAGTCAAGAGGAGATTTTGTATTGATGAAGTTGAGGACTTTTATTGTTGTGCACTTTATTTTTTTTCAAGGAAGTGTGTCGCAGAACGGGAAGGTGCCATGTCTTCTGATTTGATTTGGAAGAGGATGTGGCACGCGTTGTTCGTCGCCATTGCTTTGCCGGTTGTCGTACTGAAACCGTTTTCCTCTTACTGATAACCCTGAAATATCTGCTAGTAAAAAAGATCCAGTGGAAACTGTTCATCAGTAAATGTGTTTGACAGCTGATGACGACGACGATTTCACCATCGATTTCGAGGCTCGGATTTATAGCTACCTATAATAGGAATATTCTTCCTCCAGAGGAATTACACATCTGAACTCTTTACACTATTTACATAATTCGGACTGCTGTACACTCCGGCCTTCTTCAGTATCCGTCTATATTTCTGGGATGAGGTATTGTAACTATTCGCACCATTCGGACTGTTGTCCTCATATTTATTGCCATATTCACGAAGTTTCGGCCATTGTACGCTTTGGTCTATTTCAGGATCCGTCTATATTTCTGAGATGCCATATTCACGATGTTTTGGTCTTCTTCCGGTGATATTTCTTGGAATTTCGAAACGATCCCAGTATTTAGTTCACGAGGATAGATTGTTCTCATTCCACGTGCCATGCCTTTGTATTCATTTGTGTGCTTGTCAGGCTTAAGATAGAAATGAATTCAATATGGGAACCAGTAATAGAGAACGCTAGAGAAAAACAACAATCACAAAAAATTGTAATATGGGTTCTGGTAAAAAAATAATCTCTGAGAAAATTAGGTTTATAAGTCCCCAAAATGAACTCAACAATAAATAAAGTTTCTGTCGGAAATTCCATGAAAGAATGCCGGAGTGCACAACGACAGAAACGTCGTCAATATATTAATAAAGGTGAAGACAACAGTCCGAATAATGTAAATAGTGAAATTAGTTAAAATACCTCATCTCAGAAATATACACAGATCCTGAAGAAGGCCAGCCTGTACAATGGCCGAAACATCGTCAATATGGCAATAAAGGTGAAGACAACAGTCCGAATAATGTTAATATTGTAAATAGTTACAATACCTCATCTCAGAAATATACACATATCCTGATAAAGGCCGGTCTGTACAACGCCCGAAAAGTCGTCAATATGGCTATGAATGTGAGGACAACAGTTCGATTAATGTAAGTAGTGTAAATAGTTACAATACCTCATCTCAGAAATATACACAGATCCTGACGAAGGCCGGTGTCTAAAACGGCCGAAACGTCGTCAATATGACAATAAATGTGAAGACAACAGTCGGAATAATGTAAACAGTGTAAATTGTAACAATACCTCATCTCAGAAATATCAGCAGACATCTGAGTGCATTTTTAGAAAATTATCCATCCACCCAAATCGTCTGAAAATTGAAAATTCCACTTTCAACTGGTAACCGTGTAATCGTAAGACTCGCTGTTTCATTCTGGATTTCCACAATAGTGGGGCCAACGTTTAATGGACGTCTGCTGTAGAGTGATAGTTACTAAACTGGTCTCACAGATCATTGCTACAAAGGGCTCAGAAATTGTTATGCTATGATGAATAAATAAGAATTGAGGCATTGGTTTTAGAGTAATAACTATAATCTAATGTTGCGTGTCCTTTCAGTAATGTAATCAATCATGGCCCTCCACAACTTTCTATCGTTTCTAGCTCTTTGTGGGATTACCCTTTTTACTATCATTCCTACACCCTGGTCTACAATTTACATAACCACATTAGGTAGGTTACTCATTGGTTTCCCCTGCTCGTCGTGATTTAAGTATGTCCTGTGAGTGTCAAATTTTCTAACCCGTCTTTCCTCGTTATATGACCTAGCAATTTTAACTGTTTCTTTCTGTTTCTACATATGTTTCCTTTTTGTTTTTATTTCCCTTAAAACTTCCTCGTATGCTCCGTCCATATTAATTCTTATCTGCCTTCTGCAGAACCAAATTCTTGTTGCCAGCTCAAGGTTATCTATGATGAGGTTTTCCGGCATATAGGAAGATTGATATTACGTAAAAATTCAGCACCTTTTTTTATTACTCAGAACATTTTCCTGTTTCTTAATACTTTGTTTAGTTTTTCGAAGGTATATTTTGCTATTCCAATGCGGAGATTAGTAAATACCAACTTTACAGACGGTGGCAGTTAGTTCGATCTTAAATCGTTGCCATGATACAGAAATATTACTTGCAATAATTTGTATGCACGATCCCATAGATTATTCATCAGTGTAGTGAAATTGATCTTACTCGGTATGTTAATATTTAGTCTTGTACCAGACTAATCTCAGTTTCGAAAATATGTGCATGAGGACGCATATTTAATTACATTGAATAACGTCAAACTTAGTCTTTGATATACCTATCACTTTAGATTAAAGCTTGATACATACTCACTTGAGTCGAGATCATCGAGTTTGCAGCCTTAGTAACTTTATTGTTTTGGGTGAAATGATTAAAATAAAAATTGTGAATTTCATAACCTATCCATAGTCATATAGTATGTACTTTACCATGGTTACATATACTCCTTAGTTTAGAGTTGTTCTCCTAGACTGGTTGAGAAATAAGCCTGAAGAGATCAGTCTGCGCTGAAGGCAACCGATAGCAAGGGTATTTGTGCAAATTTAAATGTAACTAACTGGACCGGAATTCGAACCCGACTCACCAATTTCTCGTTCCGAGCCAATAAGCATTAAACCACCTGTCTATATCTCTGAGGTATTATGATTACTTGCATTATTTACATTATTCGGATTGTTATACTCATCTTCATTGCCATATATTCAACGTGAATATGGCAATGAAGATGAAAATGAAAATAAGGGTAACAGTTCAAATAATGAACAATGAAAATAAGGGTAGCAGTTCAAATAATGTAAATAATTCAATTAAATCACCTTCACAGACTTGGTCAGCCATAGGAACACCTATGTTTTGATTTGCTGAGTTACCAGCCCAGTGCCCAACCGTTTTTGATTTCATAATTGTTCTTCTTTTACATTGGTTGCCAACGAATGGTAAAGAGCCCAGTGTACGCTGCTAAGGAAGCTATAGCTCAGGGATGTCGATAAGTGGTGAATTCTTACCTTTTCCAAGGGTAATCGTGCAAAGGTGAACGTAAAAAATTTTCAACTTGACACTCCGATATCTTGTCACGAGCAGCTGCATATCTTTGCGTTACCTGTACATCTTCGATATTTATTATTGCTATTAAATTATTCGGATTCTGTTTGTTACTGTAAAACATATTGGACAATATCACACGAGTTCTTTAAGTCGAAAACTAAAACAATTTTCACTCCAATTCAAAAGTTAATAATAGCGTGTCTTCTCTATTCATATTTATTTGTAAATATCAAACATATATGTAAACTTTATGAAAAGAAGGAACTTAACATCGAGCTTAATTGCTGCCTTCGGCGGCCTTACTCACCAGTATTTCGCGGGAAATAATGAGCTTAACCAGTTTCATATTTGGAGTGGAAACGAAGGCTACTCACAATCCGCTTGCTTGATTCAATCATACAACACTCCTAAACAAGCAGCAGTTGTTTAATTTGCTTCGTCCAAGCATCTCTGCCCGATTTCAAAGAGTAAGCACGTGATCGATTTGCACTATTTCTTCTTCTTCTTCTTCTTCTTCTTCTTCTTCTTCTTCTTCTTCTTCACGGACTAATGTGATGTGTTCGTATCTCACGGGAACTCTGAAGTTACCATGGGGACGTGAAGCTACTGACACGGGTCATGGGGTTTGTTTTTCAGATGTCTTACAGAAGACAATGAATCATGTGCAGCACTCAAGACCTGTGATTACGCATGCGCACTGGTCCGTTTCTTAAGCTCCATTTTCTTTTTTTTTTTTGTCTGACGTTTGCGAACAGAAATTGGTCTTTTTGCGAGATGGCCATCGTTTCCTTTGTCTTCTTTCTTACGAAGTGTGTTTGACGAGAAAATAATTTGAATTTGATCACCTGACAAAGCATTCGGATTCACACGCGCTCAGCCTGTACCGGAATTTCGCGCATATGACACAGTTAACTGTTTATGAAACCCGTGATAATTCAGCTAGGACTTATTATACTCACTTTCGCGGTTATATTTAACGTATATATCTGATCGTAGGGGGAAAATGAAACACTAATCATGGACATAGAAAGGAAAAACGAGATACCTCGAGAGAAGGTTGTAAACGAATTGAAGCGCAGTACTAGATTGGCAGTAAGGTCCCATCAGTTTACAATTGAATTGGCTAGCTGTAACTATAAATTCTATGCTGACAGTTTCCTTTTCACGCACTTCTCACTTGTGGAACTCTGTGGAGTGAGTAGCCATGGTCCAATCCAAAACAAGTGGCAGGACTGTCGAACAAACAGAATTGACAACATTTGTAATAAGCAATAACAAGAGGAAGAACAGGGTAAAAATGATATAAAGCAAGCAAAATATATATATATATATATATATATATATATATATATATATATATATATATATATATATATATATATATATATGAATCATTTATACAAAAAGTAGATTAGTAAAGTTAATGCTATAAATGGCGAAAAACATCATCGCAAACAAATTTATTGAAATTGCATTAACCTATGAACCACTCGATGAATGTTATGATCCTTGTTTTTAATAACTTCAAGTTGTATAAGGTCTTTTTTTTATTTT